GGGTTATTGGTAACGGTGCGCGGGTCCCAAAGGGTTTCCGATCACTCTTCAATCTCGACTCGTGGCGCTTCTCCCACCGCGTCATTCCAAGGCACGGGCGGGTGGGCAATGTCGAGCCTGCTCCGATCTTGGCGGCACACCGAACCAAAAACAAATCAATCAACTACCACCAAGTCGCCGCGGTGGCTAGGAGATGTTAACTACCTCGCCTGGTGTACAGGAGGTCGTGGGTTCGACCCTGACGCCTGCAGTGTATTTGCAGCTTGCGTCTCTCTCTCTCTCTCTCATCATCATTATGGTGGCTATGAGATGTTAACTACCTCGCCTGGTATACAGGAGGTCGTGGGTTCGACCCTGACGCCTGCTGCTGTATTTGGAGTTTGCGTCTCTCTCATCATCACGGTGGCTAGGAGATGTTAACTCCCTCGCCTGGTATGCAGGAGGTCGTGGGTTCGATCCCAAACCTGACGCCTGCTGCTGCATATTTGGAGTTTGCGTCTCTCTCTCTCCGTGGTCGCGTGGATTTTTCTCCAGATCCTCCGATTTTTCCCCCTCCACATTAAAAAAATCAACATCACGCGTTCGGAGCAGTTGACTACCGCTAGACATTTCCACGTGATGATTATATCAGACACTTGGTTAAGCTTGTAATTTGTGATAGCCAAGTCGCTTCCGGAAAAAAAAATATGTACGTGGCTCAAGCGAAGCCTTTCCTGGTAAATAAAAAAAATTAAAAAAAATAGTTTAAGTAACTTTTAAAGTGCCACAGACCAGAATTCCCTGGAGCCCGGCCGCTCTGCTGAGCACAATCTCCCCATGCCCTCCCGCCACCCTCGGCTGGCTGGCGTGTGGACTGACGTGACCGTCAATCAGCCGGTCAGAACACGCGCTTAGTGGCAGAGGGGAGTGGGGCGAGGGTGGGGTGCACGGGGGGAGAGGGTGGGGGCACATGGGGGGGGCGTGGGGCGAGGGTGGGGTGCACGGGGGGATGGGGTGGGGGGCATATGGGGGGGGGGTGTGGGTGGGGGTGCACGGGGAGAGAGGACGGGGGGCACATGGGGGGGGGGCGTGGGTGGGGGTGCACGGGGGAGAGGGTGGGGGCACATGGGGGGGGTGTGGAACGAGGGTGGGGTGCACGGGGGGATGCGACTCTGCTGCAGACGATATAATAAACAAAAAATTCCGAATCTAAATTGTCGTGCAAATTGGCAGTCAAGAAACAAGAAATATCTGCGGTGTTTTGTTGCGAACATGAACAACCAACAACAACAACCGCCAGTTATTATCTGCAACGCACTGGGAGTTGAGATTCGAATACATATTCTATGGTTCTTTCGGTAAAGTTGAGTAGATAGAAAAAATTACGATAAAATAATAAAAAATAAAGTGAATAAAATATGTTTGTATATTTTTTTCATTTTATTGTTATTTTTTTCTGTCTACGTGACTTGACCGAAAGACCCATAGAATATTAATTCCTGCAGTCACGAAAGTTTTTTGTCAAAATTAGAAGATTTCTCATGGCAGGATCCCAGGCGAATGATTGACAACGGAGTATCGTCTACAAACGACAAAGATCCCCCGTGTAGCCTTCACAGACTGTTGGGGCAAGTGCTGTTAGCGAGTAGCACCTGTGAAGGCCGGAATAGCACACGGGGGGGGGGGGGGGGTTGCCAGACGCAGCGGCATTCCCTTTGCACGTGATTTGCCAGCGTGCGTGCGTGTGTGTGTGCTCTATTTGTGTGTGTGTGATTTATTCGTGTGTGTGATTTATTTGTGTGTGTGTGTGTGTGATGTATTCGTCTGTGCGTGTGTGTGATTTATTTGTGTGTGTGTGTGCGTGTGTGTGCGTGTGTGTGTGTTTTGTTTGTGTGTGTGCGTGTGTGTGATTTATTTGTGTCTGTGCGTGTGTGTGATTTATTTGTGTGTGTGTGATTGTGTGTGTGCGTGTGTGTGTGTTTTGTTTGTGTGTGTGCGTGTGTGTGATGTATTCGTCTGTGCGTGTGTGTGATTTATTTGTGTGTGTGTGATTGTGTGTGTGCGTGTGTGTGTGTGTTTTGTTTGTGTGTGTGCGTGTGTGTGATTTATTTGTGTCTGTGCGTGTGTGTGATTTATTTGTGTGTGTGTGATTGTGTGTGTGCGTGTGTGTGTGTTTTGTTTGTGTGTGTGCGTGTGTGTGATGTATTTGTGTGTGCGTGATTTATTTGTGTGTGTGTGTGATTGTGTGTGTGCGTGTGTGATTTATTTGTGCGTGTGTGATATATTTGTGTATGCGTGTGATTTATTTGTGTATGCGTGTGATTTATTTGTGTGTGTGTGATTGTGTGTGTGTGGGGAGCGGTAGTGTAGCGGTTAGCGCGCTGCACTACGAACTTGGCGACCTGGGTTCGATTCCCGCTCACGGCAAATACCAGTGACGATAATCTGAACCGGTCCTGGGCCTCCCCTAGGTCGACTCAGCCTCAAATGAGTACCTGGTGCGGTGTGTAAACATCGCCGCTAGGGAGACAAAGGCGGTCGGACGTGGTGCTGGCCACCCACCCCCTCGTGTACCGTTCCGGCCTTCATAGGTGCTCGCTAACAACACTTGCCCCTACAGTCTGTTAAGGCTATATGGGGGATCTTTGTGTGTGATGTGTGTGTGTGTGCTACGCCGCTGTTGCGTTGTCACGACAATCAACTTCTGCCCCAATGCCAATTTACTTTTTTGCTTTTGCAGCGACGTGGGTAAATAAATATACGTAGTGGTATAAAATGAAAGGGTGAGTCACGAGCCAGCACAACATGGGACGAGGCACTTGAAGGCTCAACTGAAAATAAAAAATGTAACAAATGGGTGGTCTGAAGCCGCGCTTGCCAGACCGATGACTCGCTCGCTCGCTTGCGTGTGTGTGTGTGGGCATGTGAAGTGTCGAATGTCTGAATCGTCGGTCCTGAACCCTGCGCCTTGCGTTGACTCAGCCTTGAAATGAGTCACCGGTGCGGTGTGTATAAGCGTCGGCACTGGGAAGACAAAGGCGGCCGGGCGTGGGGCTGGCCAATACCAAACGGCACTTTGGTGCGGTGCCCGCTTTCACGGCGTGTCTGTCCAGATATACGAGGGGTGTTTGTCTTAAGTTTAGACTTAAAAAACTTTCGTGACTGCAATAATTAATATTCGTTGGTTCTTTCGGTAAAGTCACGTGGATAGAAAAAATAATGAATAATAAATCAAGTGAATACAAGTGAAACGTCGTGATATTTTTATTCACTTTATTTTTTATAAGAATCGGTTTCTCTCTACGTGACTTTACCGAAAGAACCAAATAATATGTTTGTCTCTATTTTTTTTGCACTGATAAATAAACATAATGTGTAACCTTGATAACATATACGCACGCATGCGCAATGTTTTATTTATTTTACGAAAAAATATTGACACAATTAATTTTTTATAAGAATCTTTTTGTCTCTACGTGACTTTACCGAAAGAACCAAAGAAGAATGTTCGTCTTTATATATTTTTTGCACTGATAAATAAACATAATGTGTAACCTTGATAACACATACGCATGCATGCGCAATGTTTTATTTATTTAACGAAAAAATATTGAAACAATTAATTTTTATAAGAATCTTTTTGTCTCTACGTGACTTTACCGAAAAAACCAAGGAAGAATGTTCGTCTTTATATTTTTTTTGCACTGATAAATAAACAAAATGTGTAACCTTGATAACACATACGCATGCATGCGCAATGTTTTATTTATTTTACGAAAAAATATTGACACAATTAATTTTTTATAAGAATCTTTTTGTCTCTACGTGACTTTACCGAAAGAACCAAAGAAGAATGTTCGTCTTTATATTTTTTTTGCACTGATAAATAAACATAATGTGTAACCTTGATAACACATACGCATGCATGCGCAATGTTTTATTTATTTTACGAAAAAATATTGACACAATTTATTTTATTTAGCGCATTCTATGCTTACAATCATCTCTTGTCAAGGCTGCTACAATTTGTGAATTGCACATCATCAGCATCATCACCACCCTCCTCTGTGTGGCCCTCTTGGCTCATTTAGTTTTGCGTTATCTAATGTTTTGTCATTCCAAATCGTGTGCACATATGTATGTTGAACTTCTTTCACACCGTACGTAGCCAACCGTGTTAATCGGAGGTGCGAGGGAAGGACAACAAACTATGGGTGTGAGTCTATGGGTCTCTGCGTGAGTCTATGGGTCTCCGTGTGAGTCTGTGGGTCTGTGTGTGAGTCTATGGGTCTCTGTGTGAGTTTATGAGTCTCTGTGTGAGTTTATGAGTCTCTGTGTGAGTGTATGGGTCTCTGTGTGAGTCTATGGGTCTCTGTGTGAGTTTATGAGTCTCTGTGTGAGTCTATGGGTCTCTGTGTGAGTCTATGGGTCTCTGTGTGAATCTATGGGTGTCTATGTGAGTCTGTGGGTCTCTGTGTGAGTCTATGGATATCTGTGTGAGTCTATGGGTCTCTGTGTGAGTCTATGGGTCTCTGTGTGAGTCTGTGGGTCTGTGTGTGAGTCTATGAGTCTCCGTGTGAGTCTATGGGTGTCTGTGTGTCTGTGCGAGTCCATGGGTGTCTATGTGAGTCTGTGGGTCTCTGTGCGAGTCTATGGGTGTCTATGTGAGTCTGTGGGTCTCTGTGTGAGTCTATGGGTATCTGTGTGAGTCTATGGGTCTCTGCGTGAGTCTATGGGTCTGTGTGTGAGTCTATGAGTCTCTGTGTGATTCTATGGGTCCCCGTGTGAGTCTATGAGTCTCCATGCGAGTCTATGGGTCTCTATGTGAGTCTACGGGTCTCTGTGTGAGTCTATGAATGGTGAACTTCTTTCGCACCGCACATAGCCAACCGCGCTAATCGGAGGTTTGACGAGTGTTTAGCGTCTGAAATATTCGCCGTCGAATATGTGTGTGACCGTTTAACTTGAACGCGGTGGTGTGGGGGGCGGGGAGGAGTCACCCGTTCATCCTTTAATTTCAGGTGCGATTCGTGAACAACAACTGGGTGTTCGGCAAGACCATGTGTCACGTGAGCCGCTTCGCGCAGTACTGCTCGCTCCACGTGTCCACACTCACCCTCACGGCCATCGCGCTCGATCGATACCAGGTAACAGCGGCGCTTGAGCAACCGGGAGAACAGTGGCAATGCCCCCCCCCCCTTGCACACACAATACAAAGACAAAGATCCCCCGTATAGACATCACAGACTATTGGGGCAAGTGCTGGTTGAGCAGCACACACTACACGAAGACAAAGATCCCCCGTATAGCCTTCACAGACTATTGGGGCAAGTGCTGTTTGAGTAGCACACACAACACAAAGATAAAGATCCCCCGTATAGCCTTCACAGACTTGCGCCAAGTGCTGGTTGAGCAGCACGCACTACACAAAGACAAATATCCCACGTATAGCCTTCACAGACTATTGGGGCAAGTGCTGGTTGGTATTGGACCAGATGACGCCAACCCATGTGAGACTAGGTTATAAGGAAAGCTGTCTCGGGTGTGGACCAATCAACTTCAAGGACAGTGCATACATTATCAGAGTTGTGTTTTTGTTTGCATTATGACTGCAGGTATTGTGGTCTATGCAAACATGACTCCTTGTAAAAAAAAGGTGTCAGTGTTGTTGCCAGATAGAAGAGGTAAAAAACCAATTATCATATTTTTTACTGGCAAATGAGGTTCCAATTTATGTTTTATTCTACCAGGCGAGGCCCCATTGAGCGATGCAGCTCTTTTTCAGAAGCGACCTGGCCACAAATGATAGCCCAACGAAGTGGCTTATCACCATCATCGTGTGGAGCTTTACAAGCAGCCAAATACTCAAGACGCGTGGTGATGTTGATTCTAAATGCGGAGGGGAAAAACTGGAGGACACGGAGAAAAATTCACGCGACCGCGGGGACAGAGACACGCAAACTTCAAATATACCGGCATCAGGGTCGGGATCGAACACACGACCTCCTGCATACCAGGCGAGAAAGTTAACATCTCCTAGCCAGCGTGATGATGATGAGTGAGAGAGACACGCAAAATCCAACTATATAGATGTCAGGGTCGGGATCGAACCCACAACCTCCTGCATACCAGGTGAGGTAGTTAACATCTCCTAGCTACCGTGATGATGATGAGAGAGACACGCAAAATCCAACTATATAGATGTCAGGGTCGGGATCGAACACACGACCTCCTGCATACCAGGCGAGGTAGTTAACATCTCCTAGCCACCGTGATGATTATGAGCGAGAGAGACACGCAAAATCCAACTATATAGATGTCAGGGTCGGGATCGAACCCACGACCTCCTGCATACCAGGCGAGGTAGTTAACATCTCCTAGCCACCGTGATGATTATGAGCGAGAGAGACACGCAAAATCCAACTATATAGATGTCAGGGTCGGGATCGAACCCACGACCTCCTGCATACCAGACGAGGTAGTTAACATCTCCTAGCCACCGCGGTGCTAAAATTGAATGAATTGCAAGTCATCTTTCAGCACTGAGATATTTCGGTCAATTCTGCTTGTATTGTGTGTGTTTTATGGGTAGGAAACCGGAGATTCCAGAGGAAACCCGTGCAGAGCAGGGGGGGGAGAACACGCCAAACCCCACGCAAAAGTGCGGCCGATGCAAGGAATCGAATCCCCCAGGTGCTGCTCGCTGCGAGGCGCGTGTGTTACCACGTGACGGGGGCCTTGTTGTTCCTCGCAGGTCATAATGCATCCGCTCAAGCAGAGGATGTCCATACTCAAGGGCATCCTGTGCGTCGCCATCATCTGGGTTCTGGCCACCGTCTTCTCTCTGCCGCACGCCGTTTTCCAAAAGATATTCCGCTTCCAATACAGGTACTGGAGGGAAGGTGGGGGGGTTAGGGGGGGTTAGGGGGGGTTAGGGAGGAGGGGGGGGGTGTTGGCGGATCACCGCACGGATATCGGGAAACTCTCTGCACGAGGTGCTGTTACTCCCCGCTCGCCAGGTGGTGCCATCAGCTTCCATCTGTGTGGAGATGTCGTGATGGTGTCTACCAGCCGCATACGCTCACGGGCGTGGCTTACCCGGACACGTAAATAATTGATGACATGTGGTGTTACGATAATCGTTATAGTTGACTCTCAGTTATTCGGTTGTTCCTATTTGCGGATTAACCACACACCTGAGATTTTGATCTTCTTTATCTGTGGTCCGACGAAGACACCGGCTTTGACCTTTGCCTCAGACAGCCGAAATATGCCTTGTAGGCCTCACACATCTTAGCAGATGCTTCCACGGAGTACTTTTTCGTTCTTGTCTTGATAAATTGGCCGCAGACATAGCAAAATGCGTCTGCCAGATGCTTGCAGCCTCTTGATACCATTTCAGAAAAATGCAGATATGTATCCACTTAGACAGCTGGAACTAAACTGAACTGGTGGGCTTAAGGCCCCTGTATTTATACTACTATTTATATTACTGGAAAGTTCTAGAATGTTCTAGAAGTTACTCCATGTTTACTCAGCACTGAATCTATCTGGAATGTTCTAGAAAATCAGCAAATTTCAAAATATCACTGTCCTGGTCACAAAATCGAAGTTTGTAGGGAATAATAGCCATTTTCTGTACCTTTGAGGCATAAGCAATTCGGAAATAACACTTACTCCCCAGGGAAAAAAAATTGTTACTGTTATCACTGAGCACGCGCACCGATCGTTAGTATTCCGCGGAAATATTTTTTTTGTTACCCGTGATTTTGAATTATCGGGAGTCTGCTGTGTTATTGAAGGCAATGGGGTAGCCCCACCATTGCCAACGAATGCCACTGGTGGCGACAAGGCCTCTCACTCAACTAGAGCGGGCTCTAGACAGCCGCCTCCCCTCCAGAGGCGTGTTCGGCATACCTCGACCCTCGTTAACATCCTGGTATAATAATAATAATGATGATCTTCTTGGTTCTTTCGGTAAAGTCACGTAGAATGGAAATAATAAAATAATAAAAATAAAACATAATACAATAATATTATATAATAATATAATATAATATTATTATTTTATTATTTCCATTCTACGTGACTTTACCGAAAGAACCAAGAAGATGAATTGGAGAGAGTTCCACGTCGAGGGGGGGGGGGGGCGACGCCAGACAACCCACGTGATGCTGCGGCAGTTCGAGACCTTTTCAAATTATTAATTGGGAGCTTCCACACTTGACCTCACCAGACGCGGCCGTGTGGTTAATGCCACTGTTTCAACTGCGACCTCCCTTGTCACACCACCGTGGCAGGAGCATCCCTCTGCCGGGCGACGCACGTGAGCGTACGTACGCCGAACCTCTTTCGCACCGTACGTAGCCAAGCGTGCTCATCGGAGGCGCGTGATAGTCAAGTAAGCCTGCCAGCGGGCCAGAGTTTAACGTCGCTAGAGTGCCAGGTTTATTTTTTTCCCTTCCAAGTCGAGTTCCGCTTTTTTCCTCGTGAACTTAAATGCACGCGCAGCACGAACAGATCAGCGAAGTGGAATCTGTCAAATTATGCCAATTCGTGCTAAAACCTCTCAGATATGGGATTTCTCATTGCCGCCACGTGTACAGCTCTCTCACCCACGTACGCCTTTTTGTCTGTCTCTCAGTATCGTGCATCCCTCCAGACGTGGCGAGATGTTAACTACCTCGCCCGGTATGCAGGAGGTCGTGGGTTCGATCCCGACCCTGACGCCTGCTGTATGTTTGGAGTTTGTGTGTCTCTCTCTCATCATCATCAGGATGGCCAGTAGATGTTAACTACCTCGCCCGGTATGCAGGAGGTCGTGGGTTCGATCCCGACCCTGACGCCTGCTGTATGTTTGGAGTTTGCGTGTCTCTCTCATCATCATCAGGATGGCCAGTAGATGTTAACTACCTCGCCCGGTATGCAGGAGGTCGTGGGTTCGATCCAGACCCTGACGCCTGCTGTATGTTTGGAGTTTGCGTGTCTCTCTCTCATCATCATCACGATGGCCAATATATGTTAACTACCTCGCCCGGTATGCAGGAGGTCGTGGGTTCGATCCCGACCCTGGCGCCTGCTGTATGTTTGGAGTTTGCGTGTCTCTCTGTCATCATCATCAGGATGGCCAGTAGATGTTAACTACCTCGCCTGGTATGCAGGAGGTCGTGGGTTTGATCCCGACCCTGGCGCCTGCTGTATATTTGGAGTTTGCGTGTCTCTCTCCCCGTGGTCGCGTGGATTTTTTCTCCCCGGGTCCTCCGGTTTTCCCTCCGCATTTAGAAACGTGCATTAAGATTTAATTTAGATTATTTTGCCTGCTTTAAATGTCCAAATGATGGGCCGCTTTGTTGAGCTATCATTTGTGACCAAGTCGCTTCTGTAATGTAAATTCATACCTCAGTGGGCATTGCCTGCTAGGATGGGGATGGTTTAGTTTCATTTGTTTGTGTGATTATTTATCTTCCTTGTACTTTGAACTACTATCAAGTGTGTGTATTGTTTGTTGTAGTAACGTTCTGACCCGCACCGACCGGACAAACGTGAAAAAGAGCTGAATAGCTCATCGGATTCCTCCAACGTGTCGGCCTTTTGTTCCGTGCGATTTGCCAGAGGCGGTGTTTTGTGATTCGTACGATGACAGTGGGATGTGTAATTCATGAACAGCAGTATCTTCTTCGGGGCACGTTGTTATCTTACTTTTCAAAATCAAGTTCCATTTGTCAACAGCAATCCATTCTGCTTTCTCTCTCTCTCTCTCTGACGTCTTTATTTGCCCTAGATAAATATCCGAATCGGAATTTCTATTTTCCTGGAGGGATGCGATGAGCTATAAAGCATTTTTTTCACAGCTGAAATGTACATCTATACTGTATGGAGATATACAGGATAGATACGTTTAAACACGTAGGCTTTTGCGTGCAATAATATTCATAATAAAGGTTTTTTTGGTTAGATCGCCGAAGTATAAATGTGTCGTAACCCTATTCTGGAAAATCGCCCGATGATGCTGGCTGATGTAATTACCAGCGAAACGTCGTACTACTCAAATTGTAAATGTTGTGGATTTACTCTCCAACACAACGCTGGGCTGAAGCAGTAACTAATCGGCGTTCTGTTTACGTGACAAATCCCTCACTAATTCTACATTTGAAGCTTTCGTGACTGCAAGGATTCATATTCTTAGGTTTTTTCGGTAAAGTCACGTAGGTAAGAATTAAAATTAATAAAAGTAAAATAAAAATAAAATAAAAATCACGACGTTTCGGAGGCAACACAAGCCTCCGTCTTCAGGTGGAACCGTCACAGCACGATAGCTGATACAGCTAAACGTCGTGATTTTGATTTTATTTTTATTTTAGTTTTATTAACTTTAATTTTACTTTTTTACCTACGTGACTTTACCGAAACAACCTAAGAATATGACCCCTTTAATAATTGGCTGTATCGGGTGGTGGCGGCCTTAACGGCACATTTATACTTACGCGATCTCACACAAAAACAACCTCTGTTATGGATGACATTTGGTCGCGAAAGCGTCAAACTGAAGGCGCAGCCCCTGCAAGTGCCTGCAGACGCCACTGCTGCAGGATAGGGCACCTGCGCTTGAGAGCATCTGCTGCTGCTGCTGCTGCTGCATCGACTTGAGCGTATTTCGCCAACTCTTCCACTCTGGCGAGACGTCTCGAAAGCGGTGCGATTGTCCACGTTGTGACTCGCTGCGGTGACATCATCGCCGCGATTGGATGGGCCGATGTGTTTGAGACCGCGACCACCCACCCGGAGATGGAGTCGAACCGGCGCCCGTTGGATCGCAGGTCCGGTGCGCTGCTCCGCTGTGGCAGCGTGATGGACACATCAATAAAGGCCCCGCGACTACCTTTGCCAATCCGCTGCTGGATGAATGTTCTCCCCACAAAGCGTGTGGGCGGTTGTTGGGCAGGCGTGACCCCACTTGTATTATCCGCTGAGATCGTCTTGGTGCATTCATCAACCCCTCAAGGAAGAACATTACGAGGTCTGCGGCTTGAATATATATTTTTTTTAATCATACATATTATACGTGCATATATATAGCAAGGAAGAGAGACGTCTCGTGCGCTGTCATCGCTATAATTTGCAACAAAGGAGAGAGAGATATCAAGAGAAGCATTAGCAAAGACGTCGTGAAATTGAGCGTGGCTCTATGTCTCGATTGGGAGCGTGGCACACGGTAGTTATTAGAACTGCACACATCGCTTCCTCGCCCACGGCTCGCCTACGATTTCATCGTCCGCTCGACGCTAAAATTGCGCACGGAACATTTCGGGTGAACGACGCTCGCTCGCTCGCTCGCTCGCACACTCGCCACCGGTGAGAAATTACGGAGCTCAAGGGCCCTCTCTATATATATATTTAAAAAATGGTATTAAATAATAAAATTTCCATTTGGATTCAGATCTAAGAGCTTCCTTCGGTCAAAGTGTATTGCATTTCAAGGCGTACAGGTTTTCACAGCCCAATATTATGATTCGTAATAGATTTTTTGTTTTCAGGCCGTCTGGCTAAGCGATAGCCGTATGGCCCGTCCACCGGCCGAGCCAGCCAGACGGATGAAACTGTCACACGGATCGCCATCGGATCGCAATCGTTTGACAACGCACACAATTGTGATTTTGTTGAATCTCGCTCGCCGGAAGGTCGAAGAGGAATTCTCGCGCGAGCGAATTTAGCGGCGAGACACGCGGCACTTTGCTTGCAACTGCGTCTTCTGACTTCTTGGTCCCGTGTCTTCATCGCTAAATTCGTTTGTGAGAATTGTTTCTTCAACTTTACCGCCGGGCGAGCTGAAATAATCATAATTGGCGCGTTGTTTTTGTTGCTGTGCGCTTGTACCGGGCGTGACACAT